CTTTGTATGGACTGATGAAGCCACTGTGTGGCAAAACGTTTCCTCATTAAAGATACCCAAGTGTTGCACATGTGTCTAATTTATCAACTTGCCATTTCTTTGAACCATTTGTCTACATTCCTGTCAGACACAGCAACATCTTGGGATCTTAATACAGGGAATTCTTCACTTGCCTAACCTTTAGGCATGACCTACTTCCACATTTGGATTTGTCAAATGTGATGCCACCTACGACTGCTGCACCTCACCTGCCTACAGTATATAAGCCACTTCTTTGCACATATGCTGTATTCTTTTCAAGATTGATGGACTGATTACATCGACTCAAGGCTGAGGGACTAATTACCTCAAACTCCTCCTGTTCTTCACTATTCTTCTTTGTATGGACTGACAAAGCCACTGTGTGGCAAAACGTTTCCTCATTAAAGATACCCAGGTGTTGCAGATGTGTCTAATTTATTATATTCCAATTTAAAAATAGAATCCAAAATAAACACTAGACATTCTAGCCAGTAAAGCAACCTTTCCTCCCTTTACTAATCATGCTCCCAGACCTCTCCTATATAACACTTGCCCTTCATCTATCACACAAAAAAATAATTATCCTATTTCTCAAATAATAAAATATAACCAAGAATGATCGGTCATGGTTTAGGCCATCTCAGTAATTGAAGCAGATCACATAAAACCCATAAACAGACTGGGTGGGCTGTGCCCTTCCTCAGAAACTTGCCAAAAATCAAATATTTTCACTACTTTGTGTCCTATTTCAAACTACTTCCAGTCCATGCACTGATAACAAGGTTCAGCCAATAAAACCATAAAAACCTTCCTAGCAAACACTTAAAAAAAACAAATTAAGCCAAACACAAGTCAGAGGTTTGCTTTTCCCACCATGGAGTTAATAGGGCAGGATTTTTTTTATTTATACTGTGCACACTCACTACACAAACCCATTCTCTCATGTCTTGTCAATAATTTACTGCTCACAGCATATTTGAGGGTACTGTGTTAAAAACTAGTGTCAATAATGTAGATCTATGTGGACACAATGAAAGGTTTAACCCTTTCACTGTCAGTCCCGTAAGACTACGGCTTGCAAGCCAGTGTTGGTCCCATAATATTACGCCAAAATTATAGCGGCTTCCAATCTTGCAGGAGAAAGCTGGTAGGCCTACATATGAGAGAATGGGTTGGAATGGTCAGTGTGCACAGTATAAAAAAAATCCTACAGCACTCAGTACATAATGAGAAAAAAAAACTCCAACCGCGTTTTTGGTTTAAAATGCCAACTTTGCGGTCTATTTTCTTATGGTATTTATGGCTGTATTCTCATTTTCTTGGTCTCAATTGATGGACTGGAAGATATATTACAGAAATAGAGATGATTCTGAATGGTTCACAGACTAAAAGTACCTTGAAATTGAGCTCTAAGTAGAGGAAATGTTCGATTTTTGCCAACGTTCAGGAGTAAACAAATCACGTCGCTCGTCCAATACACGTCAACTGGTGGATTTATTATGCTTTCACAAATGCGCTGATATTATTTACACCACTTTTACAATAATGCAGTAGTCTGCATAACAGTAAATCTTCTGTTATGTAGAATACTGGAAAGCAAGAGTAATATAAGAGGGGCCTAGAGATGTGACTAATGAACAGAGAAAATGTTATTTTAGTGCTAGGAATGTTTGTATTGTTAATTCTGGACCCTGTTTTGAAATTGGCCTTACCTGAAATTGACCAAATTACCAAATTCTGATCACTTTATTGGGTTGTTGAAATTGGTAAATGGGCAGTTTCTTGTACTCATTCGATAGAACAAATGGAGTTCTAGCAAAATAGCTATGAGTTTGGCTGACTGTAAAAATGGAATTGGCCAAAAATAGGGCTCAAAGTGGGCAAAATCGCCAATGCATAAATATCTCCGAGACCGCTAACTTCGTGAGAGCATAATTCCATAAGTTTTCCATCAAATTTCATACTTTTGGTCTCATTACCATTGGGAAAAGATTCTCTATCATTTCATAAGAATTTTTTTTTTTTTTTTTTAAATTTTTTTGACACTGAGAGCAAGTTTTTGAGCAGGCATCTTGACAGTGAAAGGGTTAATATAGAAAGTGAAGAGATTGTGAAATGGGAATATCATGGTTCAATTTAAAGCTTGTGAGCCAAACCAAATAAAAATGATCATAAAAATATATTTTAAGACATGTATCAAAACTGAATTGTATGAACACATCACACAGTCACCAATTTGCCATATACAAAAATAATACATTTGATATAGAGAATAAATAATTGGAAAATCACTACGCAAACCTAAGCCATATAAAAAAATGACTACTTTTTTAAAACATTATGCTATATGTTTCCAAATACACTTTCATAAAAAGGGTGAACCAGAGAAAACAGTTTGAGGTAAGAAAAATATACTGAGATTATGGTATTAGCTTCAAAGAAATCTTATAGCTAATTTAATTCTTCAATTAGTTTTTTCCTGCCATATATTTTCAAATCAAGTTAACAGTGACACTTGTATTAAGGAATACTGATAAAAAAAAAAAAGAGGGTTTGGAGTTGGAAACCTACTGAGCACCACACAAATTAAATGGCTAGTTTTTAAATCAAAATTCATGAAATGGTGCTAAGTGAACTCGGCCTACAGAAGGAGTGCGGTAGTAGTATTTTTTTTTTAAATACTATAACTGTTATTAAGGGAGCAGGGGGCTGGTAACCCCTTCTCCTGTATATATTACTAAATGTAAAAGGAGAAACTTTGTTTTCCCTTTTTGGCCACCCCGCCTCGGTGGGATACGGCTGATGTGTTGAAAGAAAGAAAGAACTGTTATTAATTTAATTTATAATAAGGTGAAGTCAAGAAAACAGCTTCTTTTGTGGGAAATGGATTAGGGCCATTTTCAGAAAAATCCATAGAGTGGTTTGGCTTTCAAATTTGTTTTTGCCATATCAAATTCAACTTCAGCAACAAAAGCATACAGTGTGATCAAATCAACCATGTCCTAAATGAAACAAGCTGGGAAGATATCCTAAACAATACAGGTTCAAACCTTTGCCTAGAAAGGATTAACTCTGTGGCACTTGAGGTATGCACAAGGCACATTCCTTTAAGAAAAAAGAAGAGATGTAAACTAGAGAGAGAGGCTCCATATGCAAGCAAAGACAAAGAATCACAGAGCTGCTGAAAGGGCCCAGTCTATCTGAAATACAGAAGGAGGCACTGGCCAGAGAAATAGCAAATATTGAACTTAAGCTTAAGGAATCATACAGGAGACAAGAAACACAGGAAGAACTTAAAGCCATAAATGAAATTAAAACAACAAAATACTTCTTTTCTTATGCCAAATCTAGGGCAAAAACAGCATCCGTTACTGAAGCCCTGATTAAACAAGATCGGACTTACACAGATGACAACAAAGAAATGAGTGAGATACTGAAGTCCCAATATGACTCAACATTTAGTGAGTCATTAATCAGAATAAGGGTCGACAATCTAAATAAATTTTTTATGACCGAGACCCAAAATTTGGCTAATTCAAAATTTTATGTTATCATAACACCACAAGACTTTGAAAAAACAATAAATGACATGCCCATGCACTCTGCCCCAGGCCCAGACTCATGGAACTCCGTTTACATTAAGAACTGCAAAAAGCCCCTTTCACATGCCTTAAGTATGCTGTGGAGAGGGAGCATAGACATGGGGCATCCCACAGTCACTAAAAACAAGACATAGCCCAACTCCACAAAGGTGGCATTAAAGCAATTCCAGAGAATTACTGACAGATAGCACTAACATCTCATATCACAAAAAATCTTTGAAAGGGTTCTAAGAAGCAAGATCACCACCCACTTAGATACCCATCAGTTGCACAACCCAGGGCAACATGGGTTTAGAGCAGGTTGCTCTTGCGTATCCTAACTACTGGACCTCTATGACATGGTCTTGGATGCTCTGGAAGACAAACAAAATACAGATATAGTAAACACAGACTTTTCAAAACCCTTTGACAAGTACAATCTTAGTGTAAAACCACACAAAATACGTGATATAGGAATAACAAGAAACGTTGGTAGATGGATCTATAACTTCCTGACAAATAGAACACAAAGAGTAATAGTAAACAGAGCAAAGTCAGAGGCAACTACAGTGACAAGCTGTTCCAGAAGGTACAGTGCTCACTCCCATCCTGTTCCTCATCCTCATATCTGACATAGACAGAGATGTAAGCCACAGCACCGTGTCCTCCTTTGTGGATGACACCCAAATATGCACGACAGTGTCATCCATCGAAGATACTGCAAATCTCCAAGTGGACATTACCAAATCCTTAAAAGGGCTGTAGAAACAATACAAAGTTCAATGGAGGCAAATTTCCATGACTCCACTATGGAAAACTCAAGGAAATTAAAACTGTAACAGAGTATAAAACAAATTCCAACATACAATATAGCAAAAAACTAATGTGAAGGACCTGAGAGTGATAATGTCAGAGAATCTCACTTTCAAAGATCACAACAATGTATCTACCTCATCTGCTAGGAAAATAATAGAATAGATAATGAGAACCTTTAAAACTGGGAATGCCAAGCACATGCTTATTCTCTTCAAATCATTTGTTCTCTCTAGGCTGGAATAATGCTGTACACTAATAGCCCCTTTAAATTAAAGCAGGTGAAAATGTAGACATGGAGAATATACAGAGAACTTTCATGGCACATGTAAGTATGATAAAGCACCTAAATTACTGGGATTGGTTGAAGTCCCTTGATTTGTGAAAAGATACATGATAATATACACTTGGAAAATCCTAGAGGGACTAGTCCCAAATCTGCACACAAAAATCACTCCCTATGAAAGCAAAAGATTTGGCAGGAAATGCAACATCCCTCCCAGTGAAAAGCAGAAGTGCCACGAGTACTCTAAGAGACAACACAATAAGTGCCAGGGGGCCCAAGACTGTTCAACTTTCACCCACCATATAGTAGAGGGATTGCCAACAGATGCATGGGTGTCTTCAAGAAGGCGCTGGACAGGCACCCAAAATCAGTATCTGACCAGCTGGGCTGTGGCTCACATATCACTTTGTGTGGCCAGCAGTAGCAGCCTCGTTGATCAGGTCCTGATCCACCATGAGGCCTGGTCACGGACCAGGCCACGAGGGTGCTGACCTCCAAAACCCCCTCTTTACATAGTGTCAGGAATTAAAAGTAATGACACTCAAAAGATAATATATCTATAGAGACTTGGGCATAGGTAATACAATGGGCTTATTTTATACAAAAACCTATGGCATGTTTACTATTTAGGGGTTGTGTGCAAAGCTAAAAGAAAGTGGAAAGTAACTGCCATAACTCCCCCCCCCCCAAAAAAAAAAAAAGTTAGAGAACAACTTTGTAGCTAATACAGATGCCTCACTGTATTATGTAAGTGCTGAATTACTGCACTGCATAAATGGTCACACAGTCTTTTATAGGTCATTATTGCCTCAAAATATGGTACAGCTGACCCACAAAATTAGGTGCTGACAGTTTTGCAATTTTTCAAACAAAAAATAATTTTATCTACTGCAATTGTAGAGAATCTTTTTTCTGAAGGTAATGACACCACAAATGTGAATCTGATAAAAACCTATGGAATTGCACAGGTGGAAAGTTAACATTCTGGGTACCGTTTATGCATCAGCAATTCCACCCAATTCCAATGCTCAATTAGACTTCAATTCTATTGATTGAACAGAAAAAAAACCCACCGTATAATATGCAGAGAAGTCAGTTATTAGGGCAATTTTACACAAAATTCAACAAATTCCAATTATACACAATACCAATTTAAAAACAGAGTCCAATATAAACAATGCAGGAGTTCCTGCCACTTAAGCAACATTTCCTGTTCATTAATCACATTCCCAGGCCTCTCTCATATAATGCTTGTCCTCCACTTTGAATCTATCATCACACAGAAATAAGCAGAAGTTTTATCCTACTGGTCAGGGTTTAGGCTATCCCAATAATTGAAGCAGGTCTAGTAAAAACCCATAAAATAGACTATGAGGATTAGGGGCAGGCCCTACCCTTCCTCAGGAAAATAACTAAAAATCAAATATTTTCAGCCACCTTCATCCTTATTTCAAGTTACTTCCAGTCAGAAACCTACCTCAATTATCTATATTTTGCTAGCAAGTCTTCCATTTTATCAAGTGATACCAAGAAACAGCAAATAAAACCATAAAAAAACCTAGAAAACACCTCAAAGCCACAATTTTAAACCAAACACAAGGTAACAAGTTTGCTTGTCTTACATTGCATGGGGCAGAATTTTTTATACTGTGCACTTACTGCAGACCCATTCTCTCAAGTCTATGCTAAAATTTACCACTCACAGCCTATGTGAGGGTGCTGTATTTAAAACACAGATCAACACAAGATTAGCATCAATGACACAGATCTATGTGTGATACAGTGGCAAGGTTAATGACCTAGCCAGAGACCAGATAAAAGGTTTGAAATATGTTAAGCAAATTACACTTTCATGTAGAGGCGCATAGTATAACCAGTGATGCAGACCTGGGTAATATTCCATATCTAATTCCTGTTAACTTGTAGGGAGGGGGGGGGGAGTAGAGAAGTAGAGAAGTAGAGAAGAATCCTTCCTCTGTAAACCATGCATATCATAAAAGGTGATTAAATGCAGCTAGCAAGGGGTTAGTAACCCCTCCTCTTGCATAAATTACTAAATGTAAAATAAAAAAAAACTTTCTGAAAGCACTCTGCCTGGGTGGGACATAGCCGGTGCGTTAAAGAAAATAAAGAAAAATTATAACTATGTACCGTACATACAAGACTAGCTTTCTTCTCTCTCTCTCTCTCTCTCATACACTTTTTCACTCTCCCACTCCCTCCTCTCCCAACTGAAAAGTGAGCCATTGCCAATAATTTTCTCACAAATTATATTTTCCTTACAATTACTTATCAAAGACAGTTGTAGATATGATGTATAATGTAGTAATAGCTACTAATGAGACCATAAGACAGCAAAAATTAGAGGAAATGATAAAATTCCTGAACACTTCCTTTTGATGCTAACATGATACAGCAATGCTTATTTGTTATGATTCTGGGATTGGTGGGAGGGAGAGGCAGTTGTCACTCGTATTTTAACACCGTACTGTTGATGACTTTAATGCCAGCAGAAACATGAACCCTAGAAATATTAATTTTTACCACACAATTAAAAAAAATTATTTTTGGTGAATACAATTATAATGAAAAACTTAACCACCTAAAATGGTCCTATCCAACAAGTATTATTATAATCAATCAAGTGGTTTAATGAGGGTGAGGGGATGGTGCAGCAAGGCACACACCACCACCAACACCTGCTCCTGCTGCTTCACCTCAGTTTCCACTGTATTTATTGTCAAGAAATATTTAGAGTAGGTGAAATGCATATTTGTTTGGTAATATTTGGTCAAGAAACAAGAGATTTTTATAATTTAATTGATCCTGACATACACAAATAACCTGCACATAAAAGAGAGAAGCTTACGACGACGTTTCGGTCCGACTTGGACCATTGACAAAGTCACAGTGTGACTTTGTCAATGGTCCAAGTCGGACCGAAACGTCGTCGTAAGCTTCTCTCTTTTATGTGCGGGTTATTTGTGTATTGTTCCAGTCACGGTATTGTGCCTTTTTGTTATTTATCCTGACATACGGTATGAAAATATTCAGTGACAAGTTCTAAAGAACTTGCAGCATGTGAATTTACTCACCATGGTCAACCCTGGAATGAGGTCATTAAAGTGCCAAACCATTAATTATGTAGGGAAACTTGGAGGTATTTTTTCATTCACTTGAAAATACGTTGTGCTAACATCTGCCAACTACATGTTCAATTTTTCTTTCATATTTTTGAGAAATACTTTACATCTGCCACAAATGAATATAACAACATTGGATGGAGTCCACTCTAGGTGCAAATTGTGGGAACCCATAGCCTTAGAGAAGCAGATAAAAAGACTTTGGGGAAAAATATTTGGATTTTTTCCTAAAGCCATTTGAATACTCAGCTTCTCTTACAATCCCATCTTTTGTAATTTTAAAGATAAATATATCTTTCCTTTTGCTGTAAATATATTTTTCTCAATTCAAAGTTTCTAAGACAGTTTACTGTATACTATATACAAATTTCATTTTTGTGTCCAAATGACTTGGTAATCACCCTCATGTCTAGCAATCACATGAAGAGCATCATCCTCTAGGTCTTCAACAGGTGATTTACCAATCACTCTCACCCCACTTATAACAGGTACCCAGCAGTTGTATCAAGGTCATTATTATCCAGGTTTTCATCAAGTCATATTGGAATAATCACTTGTGTCCCAATCACATATGGCAGTTGCAACAAGGGTGTCATCTTCAAGGTCTTCAAGCAAATCAATAATCACTCTCACCCCACTCATGTCTGGTAGTTGCATCAAGGTCATCATCTTCTAGGTCTCCCTCTTCCACATACACCATCACACGGTCAATTACTGTTGAAATGAATCAATACCAAATGTAAAATCCTGACATTCATTAATCTAAAAACAAATACTTTTAACTCACTGGTCATCTCCCATGGTAAGGCGACTCAAAAAAAGAAGAAATATTTTCACCACCACTCACTCTATCATATAAGTAAATAAATAAATAAATACAAATTTTATATATATATCAGTTTTTTAACACACTAGCTACCTCTCAACTAAGCAGGGTGACCTTCACCATCATTCACATTATCACTGTTTTGCCAGAGGCAAGTATATTGCCTGTGCTCTAAAGGAGGGGTTTTGTATATCTGCTGCTTGGAGGGACATTTAAACTGTAATATCTACATGCCTCTGGCAAGATAGTAACAGTGGGAATGATGGTGAAAGTGTTTCTTTTTCAGGTCACCCTGCTTCAGTGGGAGAAAGCCAGCATAATTGGTGGAATGAGGTAAAGGATGTGATAAAAGAGAAAAAGGTCACTTATGAGAGATTTTTACAAGGCAGAAGTGATAAAAGAAGAGTAGAGTGTATGAAAAGTAAAAGAGAGGTGAAGAGAGTGGTGAGGGAGTGCAAAAGGAAAGCAAATGATAAGAGTGGGTGAGGCACTGGCAACAAATTTTGCTGAAAATAAGAAAAATTTTTGGAGTCAGATAAATATGTTAATTATGCCTAGGGAACATATGGATTTGACGGTTAAAAACAGAATACAGGAGCTGATAGATAGGGAGCTGGAGGCATTGGGAAGATGGTGGGAATACAGTGGTACCTCAGGATACAAACTTATTTCGTTCCAGAAGGCTGTTCGAGTGCCGATACTGAATGAATTTGTTCCCATAAAGAATAATGTAAATTAGATTAGCTGTTTCAGACCCCCAAAAATACACTTAAAAAAGCACTTACATAAATACACTTACATAACTGTTTGCATTTTGAGCTGTTCGTATCCCGAGGTACAACTGTATTTTGAGGAACTGTTAAATGATGATGAAGAGAGGGAGGCAGTAACATCTTTTAGGAGTGAAGAATAGCCAAATGTGAGTGTGGGCGAGATGCACGGGACATTAGGTAGAATGAAAGGGGGTAGAGCATTTGGAACTGACGGGATCATGACAGAAATGTTAAATGCAGGGGGAGATATAGTGTTGGAGTGGTTGATACTTTTGTTCAATAAATGTATGGAGAGAAAGGTACCTAGGGATTCGTAGAGAGCATGAACAGTTAATTTACATAGAGAGAAGGGGAACTAAAGAGATTGTAAAAATTACAGGGGAATAAATTTACTGAGTATACCAGGTAGTCTATGGTAGGGTTATTATGGAAAGAAATAAAGGTAAGACAAAGCAGGATTGCAGATAAACATGGAGGCCTTAGAATGGGTATGGGATGTGTAGACCAAGCATTTACATTGAAGCATATAAGTGAACAATATTCAAATAAAGGTAGGCATATGACAAGGTGGATAGGGGAGCAATGTGACAGATGTTGCAAGTGTATGGAGCAGGCAGTATGTTACTAAATGCTGTAAAGAGTTTTTATGAGGATAGTGAGGCTCAGGTTAGGGTGTGTAGGAGAGATTAATATCCAGTAAAAGTAGGCCTTAGACAGGGATGTGTAATGTCACTATGGTTGTTTAACATATTTATAGATGGGATTGTACGAGAAGTAAATGCTAGGGTGTTGGGGAGTGGTGGGATTAAATTATGTGGAATCAAATACAAAATAGGAGTTGACACAGGTACTTTTTGCTCGTGATACTGTTCTTTTGAGAGAGTCCAAAGAGAAGTCGCAAAGGTTAGTGGACGAGTTTGGGAGGGTGCGTAAAGGAAGAAAAATGAAAGTGAACTTAGTTAAGAGTAAGGTGATGATGGTATCAAATGAGTTAGGGAGAAAGTGTGTAAGAACTGAATGTATTCAGATATTTGGGAGTAGACTTGTCACCAGATGGGTTTATGAACTGATGAAGGAAACAATGCGAGTGGTACACTGAGGTATCAGTGTAGGCGAATAACATTATCCATGGAGGCAAAGAAGAGAATGTACAAGAGTACAGTGGTACCAACACTTTTACATGGGTGTGACGTATGGGCTGTAAATGCTGCAGCAAGGAGGAGGCTGGAGGCTGTAGACATGTCTTGTCTAAAGGCAATGTGTGGTGTAAATATTATGCAGAGAATTCATAGTGTGGAAATTAGGTGGAGGTGTGGAGTTACTAAAATTATTCACAGGGATGAAGAGGGAATGTTGAGGTGATCTGGTTAAATAACCAGATCACCTCAACATGGATGGAACATAACAGGATGACTTAGAGGGTGTGTAAATCTGTAGGGGAGGGGAGGAGGGGTCATCCTAGAAAAGGATGGCAGGAGGGGGTAAAAGAGGTTTTATGTACAAGGGGCTTGAACATGCAGCAGGCATGTGTGAGCATGTTAGATAGGAGTGAATGTAAACAAGTGGTTTTTGGGACCTGACAAGCTGTTGGAGTGTTAGCAGTGTAATATTTAGTGAAGGGATTCAAGGAAACTGGTTAACCTGACTTTAGTCCTGGAGGTGAGAAGTACAATGCCTCCACTTTAAAGGAGGGGTTTGGGATATTGGCTGTTTGGAGTGACATCTAAACTGTTGTATCTGAGCACCTCTGCAAAGAGAGTGATTATGTGATTATGGTGAAAGTGTTGAATGGTAATGAAAGTTTTTCCTTTCTTTTGGGGTTTTTCTTTCTTTATGGGTCACCCTGCCTCGGTGGGAAATGGCCAACATGATAAAAAAAAAAAAGTTTGCCTTGCAAACAGCAACATCCCGGGGAGGTACTACCTTCTTGCTAAGTGTGTGTGAAATGGAAGCCTGTAATTGTTTTACATGATGGTAGGATTGCTGGTGTCCTTTTTCTCTCAAACATGCAAGATTTCAGGTGCATCTTGCTACTTCTACTTACACTTAGGTCACACTGAACATACAGACAAGCATATATATACACATGCCCCTCTGAGTTTTCTTCTATTTCCTTACTAGTTCTTGTTCTTGTTTATTTCCTCTTATCTTAATGGGGAAGTGGAACAGAATTCTTCCTCTGTGAGCCATGCGTGTCATAAGAGGTGACTAAAATGCTGGGAGCAAGGAGCTAGTAACCACTTCTCCTGTATATATTACTAAAATTAAAAGGAGAAACTTTCATTTTTCCTTTTGGGCCACACTGCCTCAGTGGGATACGGCTGATTTGTTGAAAGAATAAGTTTGCTGAGTATACCAGGTAAAGTGCATGCTACGGTTATTAGTGAAAGAATTAGAGGTCAGACAAACAGCAGGACTGCAGATGAACAAGGAGGTTTTATAATGGGTAGGGGATATGAAGACCACACCTGTCATTCTATACAATTATAATTTAGCAAAGAATGCTTCATTAGTAAGATAATAAATTTACTTTGAATGTGTTCATTAATGTACATACAGTAGAGTACAGGTCCTCCATCACAAATCCGGCATCATTGGGACCTGTAGTGTGCAGGATTGCTGAGTTTGCCGAATTACAGAGTGGTTAGGTTAGAATACACTTAATAAAATTAACCAACTTCACTTACACAGTTCATTGAACATCGGCAAAAATCGAACATTTCCGCTACTTTGAGCTCAATTTCAAGGTACTTTTCATTATGAAAGCAATCAAAATCATGTCTATTTCTGTAATATATCTTCCATTCTATCAAATGAGTCCAAAACATGAGAATACAACCATAAAAACCATACGAAAATATACTGCAAAGAGGCGGCTAATGGCTGAGAAGTGAACTCCCTTATTTATCGTCCGTCTTTTTTATTTTTGTTGTACGTTAAGAAGCATCTTTCCATCATACATTGCCCAAGTTTCAATGAGATAGCCCAACAAACAACCGAGAAAAAAAAATATTTACCAAAAATCATATATGGCAAGCCCAAGCCAGGAACTGGAAATAAGTCACTTTGTCTGACTTTTCTGGGTTATCCTAGGTTCTTTATACATACACTGCTATGTATGATAGTCTATGTAACTGTATTTGTGTATACCTGAATAAACTTATTTATCTGTCAACTGAGTACAAGAAACCGCCCATTCACTTATTTCAATTACCCAATAAAGTGGTCAGAAATGGCAATTTGGCCGATTTCACACAAATTTCAACAGATGCCAATTTCAAAATAGGGTCCAGAATAAACAATGCAGACATTCATGGCACTAAAATAACATTTTCCCTGTTAATTAGTCACGGCTACAGGCCCCTCTTATATTACTCTTGCTTACCATTTGGAATTTTTATTCACAAAAAAAATAGAAGATTTACTGTTATGCAGACTACTGCATTATTGTAATAATTGTATAAATAATGTCAATCCATTCTTGACTCCGTACTGGAATTTAGACTGGCAGGCAGACAGGTATTAGATGGTGACGTCATTTGTTTACTCGAGCTTCGCTAAAGAATAGAACATTTTCGCTACTGTGAGCGCAATTTCAAAGTACTTTTCGTCATAAAAGCAATCAAATTCATATCTATTTCTGTAATATAGCTTTCATTCTATCAAATGAGACCGAATAAATGAGAATATAACCATAACAACCATACAAAAATATACCGCTAAGCGGCCGCTAATGGCTGAGAAGTGAACTCCGCCATTCATGGTCTGATTTCTTTCATTTTTGGTGTACGTGAAGAAGTATCTTTCCATCATACATTGCCCAAGTTTGAATAAGATAACCCAACAAACAACTGAGAAAATAATAATATAATAATAATTAATAATAATAATAATATCTTTATTTACTATACGTACATGTACAAGGTATACAGGCCTAGCTGACATCAGTGACATACTACTGTATAGAAAGGCACTTGTTATGCTGAGTATTTCAAGAAAATTAGGTCAGTGTCCCAGGATAACACCCACACTAGTCGGCTAACACCCAGGTACCTATTTACTGATGGGTAAACATAGACAACAGGTGTAAAGAAACATGCCTAATGTTTCTACCC